ATTTATCGACATGCTGGCATGATTTTTAACAAAATTAAAAAAAAAAAATTATTTTCGGTACAAACATCAATATAACGAATTGTGGCTACTTCCGGTTTATTTCTCCTATGTCAAAGTATGATCTTTTTTTAAATACAATAAGACCCCGTTTATCAAAATTGAATGTTAAGTGTAGAAGTTATCAGCAGTTAAGTAAAAATACATACACAAAGTTTTCATACAAATTTATGATTTCTTTACTGGTTCAAACTTTTACAAAAATTTTAAATCTTAAAATTGTATGTTAACCTTTTTGTTTGGTTGGTAATTAAAAAAATGCAATATTTTTTTTATTGCACATTTTTCGCAAAAAAAAAAGTTTACCAAAAAATTATAGTTTCCATCAAAAAGCACGGAAAAAGTTCAGATACGTCAGCAATTTTTGATTCTCTATTATAACTGTGGCATGTTATAAGAATATTTAGAAAACTTTTGAAACTAATATTACGTTCAAATTGGCCCCATTTAACTTGTTAAATGAAAAAGAGCTTTTTGGAAAACACAATCGTCCGCATTGAACATTTGGAGTTAATTTGACGGTTGTTTGTTTACCAATAAAAATTCGAAAAAAAATATTCAAAATTAAGTTTTTGTGTTTCAATTTGTTTTGAGCGAATGTCTGCTTCATGATATTAACGCATACGGATGGATTACTTAGATACTTCAAAATGTTTAGTTCGTATGTACTATAAAATAATAAATAATTACCGCTTTGACCTCTTTTTTTGGCAGACAGACATGCATACAATGTTGATATTTTTTCATAGTTTTAAATTTTTAATATTTTTGAGAATAAAAATTTTTTGAACGTTGGCGTGTCAAATGAACGTTTTTGGGTCTTTCTGATTGGCCGGAGTAGAAAGCTTTCTGATACAACTTTGCGCTTAACTGGTTTTCAAACGAGTTAAATGATTTAACTGGTTCGATTTTCCAACAACAATCGCATGCGATTCAACTTGTTTATGAACATATTTTGTTCAATTAACTGGTTCAAGACCATTTAACATGTCTAACTCGTCAATTTTAACGTAGTATAAGAAAAACGCCTAAAATTTGCATGTTTAAACTCGTATAACCTTACGAAACACGGCGGTAACTAGTAACCATAGCAACAACGATTTTGAACAAAATACTGACATATAATTTTTTCCTGGCACGAAGGCATATGAAACAGGTATGTGGTATGCGTGTATTTTGTTGTTGCTTCTGGTATCGAAAGTGTCAAAAACTGTTCTGATTTTTTTCTTCTAAATCAAATAGTGCCATGTGAAATAAAAAAATAATAAGTAAAAAATTGAAATTGGAAAAAAATAAAAAATTTTGCTACTTTCTGCCTTAGTAAATTTGTTTGCTTCTCGAAGCATTGATCCATCCTTTGCAAGGCCCAGTTGTCAGCGTTTTGTGCTGCTGAGTTGGGCGAACGTACCAAAAGCTGCTGTTCAATGATTTGTTTTGTATGACAAAAGGTTCCGCATGCAATAGATTTTAATAAATTAAAATTTTTGTGAGAATAAATTAAAACTATTTGACATTTTCGAGACCACATAATTTGAAAAAAAAAAATAAAAATCAAATCAGCTGCTGTACTGAGGCTACCTGTTCAATGTGCCTTGCCTGGTACAACATTTAGTAAATCTGCGTTTAGTCAGCATTTTTCCAAAGGACTATAAATTATAATATATTTCCAAAAGTTTACACCCATGCAGTCAATTAAATAAATTTTCCCATTTTCCAAAATTTTATCATAAACGTATTTCCTGGTAAAGAAATGTTGCAACCATCAATTTTGAACAAATTGGCTTTAATATTTACTGATTTATCGAAGAGTTTGTATTTCTCTAAATTACCGTTATATGGGATGTGGGCGTAGTTCTTGTCCGATTTAAAAAAATGTCGGCCATTTGGTACATTGTACCAAGGCCAATAACTGTGCCAAGTTTGGAAGAAATTGGTGCAGCGGTTACCAAGATATACACATGTAATCAGAAGTGGGCGTGGCTACGCCCATTTTCCAAAAATTTATAATATTCTTATTTTTTGTCTGAAAATTATTGTAAATATCAATTTTGAGTGAATTATCGTCGGTAGTTACTGAAATATCACAGTTTTCTTATTTCTGGAAATTACCTTCATATGGGAAGTGGGCGTGGTTGCAGTCCGATTTCGCCCATTTTCAATACCCATCTACCTTGGAACACGGGAAACCCACATACCAAGTTTCGTTGAGATATCTCAATTTTTGCTCGAGTTATCGTGTACACGGACGGACGGACAGACGAACGGACGGGCGGACAGACAGACATGGCTTAATCGACTTCTCGATTCATTCTGAGTATTTATGTATACATTTGTCTATATCTATCTCGATTCGTTTTGGCTGTTACAAACAACCGTTATGTGAACAAAATTAATATACCCTTGTGCACAAGTGCGGTCGGGCATAAAAAGTGTTATTGCTAAGCTCATACCCTGTAGTCAAATGAACTAGTTGTAGACTACCTCACAACTAGTATGAACCGCATGCCTAACTAGTCAGCCAACTATCTTTTTTCCATGCCATGTATTTTTAACATGGGGATGTCCTACGAGATGGCAA